TGTGTACAGTAATTTACCTGATAAGACAGACCTCAGAAAAATACTTTATGAGAGCTTTTATACTTTTATAAAGCTGCTATAATGAAAATTAATTAACTAAGGAGTTTTTTGCCCTGCCAGGGTGTGGCCGAGTTATCCGGAGTGCCGGGTTATCGAGAGCCGAGTTTTCGAGGTTCTACTGTATCAACATATCAGATTTTTATAGTGAAAAAAATGGAGAGCCAAAGCTGTATATGATAATCAGATCACTGTACTGTTAAATGCAGTATCTTAAATAGGAGTTTGCTCTGTAAAAAATGTACTGCAATGTAGACTGAGTTCATTATGAAATTTATTTAAATTATTATTTATATGCTAATTTTGTTTGAAAAAGTTTGAATTAGTCTTACAGTGTCAAAGACTATCAATTTTTTTCAGGTCTTTTTTTGGGCACATTATATTGTATCTTCCAGTCTTTGGTTTTTCTATCCAAAGTAACTACATGGCAAACTGGATGGGTCCATTCTGGGTACATGTCCAAACCATCATAGTCTGCACTGTTGAATGCTTGATGATATAGTTGGCTGATTTAATCAATACCTTTTAATGTTTTCATTGCATATGTGTTGTAGAAGAGCTACACCAGTATTTTTCTCAAACAGTGCATCTGGAATGCATTTAGTAATGCTATCTTAGTGAATAGTTTCAATTGAAAAAATAATTCAAATATTATAATATATGGACTATATTTTATTTATTTCAAAAATAAAACAATAATTATCTAGTACATATCTAGTGCAGCAAATTTAACCTGGAGATGCATTCAATTAAACATTGTGTTTTAAAAATGTTCCATTATGTTTGACCTGAAAGAGATCCAGCTGAAGGATTGAAAACTTTAGTCATTATCAAGATAATAATCTATTGGAGAATTGTTTAGAAGGTACTACAAAGTGGTTTGGTGCTATACTTCCACTGCAGTATTAATAAGTATGATAGAACATATCTAGTTCAACTTGATATTCAATAAGTTTCTCTTTATTAACTTGGTTCTGTTTGGTTTGACTGTATGTGTGCACTGTTATGATTCATATTGTTGTCAAAGCAATATTTGCCAATTTTTATACAAAAGAAAATCCAAAAAACTCTGGAAGTCAAAACCTGAGCATTTACATGAGTAAATTACTCTTTACTACAATATAGATTTCCATATCCTCTGTTACAATGAAACCTGCTACTTCATCTGCAAACATATCTAGAGATTTATAGTACATATTTTCAAAATATTGTCTTTTTATTGTTCAAAAATAAACACAATAAACTATAAGTTATCTGAAAAAATTTAATTGTAATAATAAACTTTAAATAAACTATGACAGGGCATGCAAAATAATAGAATTTACTATATATTAAATTTCTACTATGAATTAATGAAATTAAAAAAAAACCAAAAATGAAGATTTATAAGGTACATTTTTCTGCAATTACTAGAAAAACAATTATTTGTAAATGGAGTTTGTCTGTATTGTATTTCTTTAGTATTTAAAATTTATATTTCTTTTCTCCCAATCTCCACCACTAATGAACTTTTACATTTTATGAAAAAATAGACAACACCAGTTAAATTTTAAATAAATGACAAACTATGGAAGAGTAATAGTTTTATTTAAAACAATATCCTAGTCAATCACAATTTTACTAATTTTCATACAATATCCATAATCTTTATACTGTTCCATCATATCAAAATTTTCATTTAAAATATTAAGAAATATATTAACAAGAAGGGTAAGGGAAAAAATGATGTATAAAGAAATGAAAAAAATACTCCATATAGTAAAAAATGACATATAACAATATAATAATTAAATGCATTAAATCACATAACAAAAATTAAAAAAATTGGCAGTTCTTTTCTTTTAACAATTTGGACAATTTTAAAATAATAATTCTGGTCCTTTTCTTTATTATTCAATGAGATATACATTTCATGAAAATACTATACACATTTATCTAAGGACATTATTCAAAATACCATTGACTTTCATTTGGCATACGACATTAAAGCCATTATTATGACAGGAAAGAGCACTTCGACTACCATATTAATGGTTAATTTTATTTTATTTCTTCAATGTAAGCTGGTAAAATTACAATAGAGATTAAAAATTTCTTTTAGTGTTAATGGAAATGCTATGCTATCCATATCACAATTATATATGACAAATGCAATAGTTAATTTGCATATCGTAGATAAAATTATTTTATTTTTATTTATTTAATTAAAAATTAAGATTAGAGCACTAGAATAAATCACTTCTTATATCCAACATTTGAAATATAAATGATTACTCATTTCATTTCCTGATTTAATAATAGACATTACTTCAGTTTTCATTTTAGAAGTATAAATTCATAAGAAAATTTTGGTCTTTACATCTGAAATGAGCTTTTTTCTTATATTTTTAAACTTTTGTTTTTATAATTGAAAATAATATACATCCTCTACTTTTATGGTCTAGATGGTTCCTTAAAAGCAACCATCAAGTAAGCATCATAATCTCAGTTTATGTTTTAGGAAATACAATTTTTAACACAGGAAATATAGCATTGAGGCAAGATGGCCAAGATAATAAAGATGTCAATCTGATGTTCTGGGAAATCCAGGTCCTTGGAAATTTTCATGGGTGTCTTGGACCCAGATATCACTGACACCTGACCACCTCTCATTAGAGGCTTGATTAACTTCTTTTTTCAAGCTTGAAAAAAGAAGTTAGTGAAAAGAATAGCATTTCAAAGTTATAATAATAAATTTATACTAGTCATAAAAGTGGAGGATAAAAAGCAAGAAATCGTAGATTTAATTGTAATAATTAGTTGTTATTCACTAAAAAAAATTAACAGAATTGTATTAAATATAATTCATCAAATGTTGGAAATAATTACTGTACAATAAGGCTATAAGTGATATTATATAAAAGTGTCTAAACTTGCAACAGTATTAAGCATTTAACTGTTTGATTGTCAATTTTTTTCTGAAAAATAAAGTACTGTATTTATAAATGTATTATTCAAAATTAAGAATTTTTTTAAAGTAAATATTTGAAAATCTTAAAAATAAATTGTAAATTGTATAGCATATAACTATTATTATTAGCATTTTCTAATATATAACAACATTCTAAATTTTTATTTTGAGCAATAGTGAAATTTTATCATTAAAAACTTAAAAAGTAATGTAAATTAAATTTTGCATATTATGTTAAAAATTAAAGATTTTAAATTCTATTCTTAACAATTTGACATTAATAATTATCTGTCCATTCATAAAGAGGATCCTGAAGAATACTATAGTAGTAGTAATAGAATAAAGATACAAGGTCTACACCATCTTCAGAAAAATGAACAAAAGTCAACTATTCTTCCTCAGCTAATGCAAAAAGTTGCATTTCTGCATTACTTGTCAGACTGTTTTGGCACAAGTTATATAGCTCAAACTGACATAATCAATTCTCTCCCCTCCAAGCAGCGTAGAAATGCAGGTTCTATGTTAATTAGAAAGAAAAATTGATTTTCTTTTCTTCACTATTCTTAGATAACAATAAACAAACATGATATATCAACAAAAAGGGACAAAACTTAAATTACTCAAATGCTTATCTTCAGAGCTTCTATAACAAATGAGGACAGGTTAGTCTGTTTTTGAAGTCTATCCACCTTTGTAAAACTCGTAAAGGTGAGCATTTATGCTAAAAAAAGACTTGAATAATTTAAGTTGTGTCTGTTTTTATCAACAAAGCATATTCATTTATCGTAATCTATCCATTCTGTGAACATTGAATGCTACAAATATAAAATGGATAGCTGTTACATAGCTTTAATATTTATTTCTAACAATGTTTATTTTTATAATAATTTACTTCATTGAAATATAATCTGAAAGTATTAGATGTAAATTAGTCAGAAAATATTTTCATTCGAAGAATGTAAATTTTTTTGTATCTACATTTTACCTTTACCATTCGAAGGAACATTTACCATTAATTTCAGCTTAATAAAATCATGATTATTTTCTCTACTTTTTCCTAAAAGAAAATCCAATAGATTTAAATTAATATATATTCTCTTTTATCATAATTTTGGACAGGTACTCTTAATTTATTCATTTCAATCACAGCATTTGCAGTTTTTTACAATACTTTCTCCTTTGCATTTGCATAAAATTATTCACCAAACAATAAAACTTACACTTCTATTTACACATATTTAATACTATTGTTTGGACATTTATTTCTAAAACAGGCAAATAATATAACTACTTACCGGTGATCAAAATGGATTAAACATAATTGTTATATAAAAGAGCAAGTGATTTTAAAATAATGAAAAAAGTTTGAAAAAGAAATCAACAGTGAAGATTAAAAAAAATAATAATAATTTTTATTTTTGTATTCCTATAATCTTAAATTTAATGTCTGCCAACTCTCTAAGCCAGAGAAGCATGATTTCTTCTCAGTCAGAACAGCAGATTGCCAAAGGCAACCCAATTTCCATGCAGACTGAGTCTGGTGAGTAGGCAGGCAGACATTGATAAAAAGAAAATTTAAGCAATGATACATAGTTAAAAAGTTAATACTTGCTATCATAATCACTACACAAGTTTTAAAAGTTATTGTGAAATTGCACAGTAACTTTTAAGACTTGTCTGCAACAATGTCTGCATTCAAAATAATCAGGATTAAAATTAATCAATTATCATTCACTTTATGTAAATGAATGCTTATTCATTAACTTGTGATTCTGCTTTATGATTGTTAAATATAATGATTATGTATAAATATAAATTTTCTTATGACAAAGAAAATTTATATTTATACATAATCATTATATTTAACAAATTTTCTTATGACAAAGAAAATTTATATTTATATAAAAATGCTTTACAATAACAATTAATAAAAATTATTTCCAAATATTTCATTCTTCCAGACCAATGTTTAGAGATAAATTCATAAAACTCAAGAGAAAACATGATTTTCTAGTGAGTTTTTGAAAGATTTTTATTTTCTCATCAAAAAAAATTTTCCCTCAAGAACTTGTTTGTGCCAGGAATATATAGGTCATCATGCATTAAAAAAAAATCCAGAAAATATTTTTATTGATATTACTTCTTTGATAATTTAGTTAAATTTTTATTCTAAAGCAAAATCATTTTTTATTCACGTTAAGTAATTCATAATTATGTAATTTGTGAATAAGTGGGAAAATGGTCATACTTCTAATGTTTTATAAAAATACAGTTTATATTATTGAAAATACCATTTATTTGTTCAAATATAATTTGAAAACAATAATAAAGACTAATAAATATATAAAATTTCAGACTTTTTTTTGTGAAATAAAACATGAAGTCATAAGTACAACAGTAATTAGACTTTAGCATGCTAGATTAGTATGGAATAGTTATAATAATTTTGTAGAAAGGATTTAATTAGTTCTTAAAATATTTATTAGAGACTTTCATTCTTTTGTGTAGAATTTCATTAAATCAAACATAAAATGGAATATAACAGATTTCAAATTAGATTTTCTAATACATTCCACTCTGTATTTGTATTTCTGATGAAGTTCTATACAAAGAACAAAAGTACTTTTGTTCAACAATAATTCAAATATTTATGTAATGAATAATTTTGTTAGTTTTTTCTTTATACAAAATATTGTTTTTATCAATATACTCATTTGTTGAAACTTTAAATTTTATACAGTGATACTCATAAAAAGTTTCTATAATAATAATAATCTCTCTATTTATAGTCAGAGTATTGTATAAGAATGGAGGTTATAAAAAATAGCTCATAGCAATAATGATAATATAGCTGAAAGTATTTTAATCATACTCCTCAAATTTAGGACAGATTAAGAAGCTATGCTGAACTGTAATAGTCAACAATTAGTATACATTACTATAGAATCCTGATAATGAGGTAATCATATTTAGATATTTATATCTTGTAAGAGGTAAGCATATGAAGTATCAGTGCAGCATTTTATACATATTCTTATTTTATAGAAGTTAAAAAGTTTATATTATTTGATAAGATTTTCCCCTAAGAAAAAAAAAATCTAAATATTCTAAATATTGCATATATTATCCCAAATATCATCATGACCAGACAATCAGAGAACATCAGAATTTGCAGAAATTGTCTAAATTATTTAAAGTGATTCTATAATGCTCTAAGTGACTTTAGTGCATAACTTGATATTTCAATTGTGTTAAATTACTTTTATTGTGAGCCAATAATGAAGGCTGCACTGACTATTTGGACTGATTTTTGAGCCATTTGTGTAAGAATAATGATTGAGATAGTTTACCAGTCATAAATTGATATATCATATATATGTATTTTAAGTATTAAAATGGTATGAGGAATATATTAATGAAATTAATGTATAATTGTGTTTAAATAGTGAGCAATTTTTATGCTGAGAAAATACACTATAAAACTGACTATTGTGTTTCTATAAAGTGATATGTCAAATTTGTTATAAATAATATCCAGATATTTTTTTTTGCTTTTAGTACATAATAGACATCATTTATAACAAATTTAATATCATTGTTTGAATATTCTAACTGTTTCGTATACTGTCATTTGTTCATATTCTGTTTTCAATACAATCAATATCATATCAGTGGGCAGTGAATACAGCTCTCATGTTCATAGGAATGCTGAAAATACAGGCTTATGCAATTGTTTCCTCTTAACATACAAATAATATATCTTATTCCTGAATGCAAACTATTTTTCTATATCACAAGGGCAGATGACAGAAGTTTAGACAATAATTTTTAAAATGTAAATGCTTTATACATTAAAAAAATACAATAAAAAATTAACTAAAATATATGTTAAATTTTTAACCATTTTGATCACTGGCTTAATTATGAATAAAGGATATATTTACTTCATCATTACATTTAAAAGTAATCATTAGATATTTTTAATTAGTAAACTTCTCTAATTGCATTTTTTAAAATAAATTACATCATCTGGAAGATGTTACCCTCAAAGTATCTTTGACATTCACATATAAGATGCTTGATTCAACTATTTCCTAATATCATTGCACCTTTTCCAGACAGTTTATTCTAAAAAATAGTGAAAATACTCTAAATCTTTTGCGCTATGCCAACAATTCAAAATACTTTTTATCATTTTATATTTACACTAAATGTTTTATTTTTCATTTCTGCTAATAATTACTACTCTATGAATCCATCCAATATTCATTGGAAGACCTTTCTAATAAATCACATTCTAGACTATTTTTTTTTTAAAGTTAGAAGTAATAAATATATTTTGAAATATATTTATATATAAAAAAGTTAATAAAACAGAAAATACAATTATTGAAATATTCTCTACAAAAACTATTTACAAAATATAAGGAAAAAATAATTATCAAATATATTTTGAAATCATTATTGTAGGAGGTAGTTCAACTTTAAAAAGAACTGATGAAAAATAATGTTATGAAAAAATTTACAAAAATCATAAAAATAAACCAAAAGCCTGAATCTATTGCTGAATGTAAGTCTAAAAACACCAGATTGTTTTAAGGCTAATTGAACAAATTGATTATCAGAATTTGGCCTAAAAGGCACATTACCACTTCATCTATACTTTTAAGTAGCTTAACTAATAACCTGTTGCCTGGTAAGAAGGTGGTACAGGTTCTAATTCCATTCTAGATCAATTTTTCTAGAACTTTCTAATTTAATTAGAAATTTATTTCAAATTAATTATTAATTAAACTTTTATATAAGATGGTGGAACACTGCCCTAGCTTCAGATCAAATTCTGATAATTAATGAATAAAATTAACTTAATTAAGAAATAATCAAAAGAATTAGGCTTACATATGGAAACAAAAACGTTTGACTTTAAAATGAAATTAATTAATAAATTTATCCATTTTAATTTATAAATTAATAAATGAATAAATATAAACAGTTTTCACTTATTTTCTCATAAGTAGGTTAATGTTAAAAGCAAACTTAAAAAAGTCAATAAATATAATACAAATGTAAATAGATTCTCAAATAAAAACAACAATTTTTCATTTATATGAAATTGTGATAAATATACAGTTAAAGATGTTAAATAAATTTCTTTTATATGATATGAAGAAACGTAACATCTACTTCTAAAAACAATAAGCATATTTTAATATCTACAGAATGTATGATTAATATTGAATAAAGAGTTGCAATTAAGTTTTTAATTACATGAATCTAATATCTAAAGGTAGATTTTAGATTTCTGAAATTATAAGAACTAACTAGAAATCATATAAGCTACCACTGAAGCATGATCAAGCTTCCCTGGCACCATTGCTAACTTTTCTCCAGCTTTTCTTCTCCTTAGCCTTTGTTCTGCTAGGCTAATAGCTAAATCTCCTTCACTGTAAAGTTCTGGATCTTCAAGTATTCTTCTCTTAGCAACAGTTAATTTCACTGCAAAATCAATCATTTGTTCACATACTTGTCTTGCATTTTGTGCTGGATCATCACCTTCATTTACACCATTTGTCAACAAATCTTCCATTCTTAGAAGGGTGAGTTCATGGCGCTGATGTGCTTCTACTAAAGGAAGAGAAGGATCAAACGAAATGCAATCTTTGTCATTCTGACTATTCAACCTATGCAAACGTGAAGATCTCTTTCCATTCTCTTCTGAGACTTCCGATTTTGATGTTTTCTCAAGTTTTCGTGGAATTGCAAATTTTCCTACTACTGGATCAAAATTATCTGAAATTCCATCACTAGTTAAGAAAACAATATCTCCAACATCAACCAATGTCATAGATACAGTTAAATTATTAAGTTCAGGATTTTGACCATCTACAGGACCAAGAGCTCCAAGAGCATCTCTCATATCTCTCATGGAATAGATATCATGGGATCCTATAAAAATATTTTTAAAATAATTAATTATATAGTTATATTTATTGTAAAATTAATTAATTAAACTTAGGAGTAAAATATTTAAATGAAAACAGAAACAATAGTGACAGTTATTTTGTAATAAATTGACAACAACTTTAACTGTAAAATTTTGGAATGTATGTAAATGATAAATATAAATATAAATTAAAAAAGTATTATTTATGATTTTATTTGAATTAAATGAAACTACATTGCTTTGTAATAAATTGATTCAATGAATTCAGGAGGATAAATTAAAATAAAATGAACTTGAAAGAATCTATAAAATGATATTTCAAAAACAAAAATTTATGAAAACTAGAAACAACAAACATTCAAATACTAGAGAGGTTGAGGCAGACGTTTTAAACATGTAAACGTATAGGACGGACGTTCGGTGCTGCTTTCCCGTAAGCCTAGAAGTTTGACGATGGTGTTTGGAATGTCGAGCGTGATTCCACCGACTATCCAAACACCATTGTCAAACTTTTAGGCTTACGGGAAAGCGGCACCGAACGTCCGACCTACACGTTTACACATTTAAAACGTCTGCCTCAACCTCTCTACTTTCAAGTTACTATGATGTATTATCAGGAACATTTATAAATTGATCAGTATTCTAAGTAATGCTGATTAATTTTGTTTGGTGCAATTAATGAGTTGTAATATTTGTAAAATCTGCTGATGTGATGACATTTTATTAAGATATTGATCTCAGTTTGCCAGATCTTAGACTTGAATCTTTGTCTATGAATGTTTGCATTTATCAGAGTTTAATACAAATTGTTATATGAGAGAGTAGTATAGACAGAGTAGTGGAACATTTTTCTTTAATAATTAAATTTCAAATAATATTATACATACTATTTATAAGTTTTTAAATATACAGGGTGTCTACAAACAATTGCATCAGCTTCAATGAATCACTTTGTATTCAACATATGATCAGTGTAAAAATATGTAAAAAACTCACCAGGTCTTTTTCTTTTAATAAGTTCTCAATATGTGTCCTCTTGGTGATTCTGCACACATCAACTCTAACCTAGTGCATTCCACACCTAGTGCAGCATATCCCTGTCAATTTGAGTGGTGGTTATGATGAAAGCTTGCAGTTTTGGCAGAATGGCTAGTAATGGCAATACAAATGTACTCCCCAAAAAATACACAAGGTTAGTTGGGAATGTGAAGGCCATAACAGCAACTGCTAGTGAGCTACTTGACATGACCAATTCATTGGTTTGATAGTCTGATTGGTATCAAAGAATTTAAAGATGTTGCAGGGAAATGCAATAGAGTACCATTCTGTTACTAGATGAAGTCTGTACTGCCATTTTCCAGCTGTGACATGGGCCAATTTTGAGGCATATCTCAGATAGGTGCATTCTGTCATGGTTTCTTCAGAAAAGAAAAAAAAGGGCTGTAAATTTGAATTTGAGACTGCACAAAAAACCAGACAATTCAAACAAAACTTATTGAGTTTGATGATATAAAACAAACATCTCTAACTACATTTCTAATAATACACTCACAAAAAAATTTGGAAAACCACTGTAATCATTTATAGACACCCTGTATTTGAGTAAAATCATCATTCTAATAAGGATACTTTTATAAACAAATTTTGTTATACATTAATGTATTTTGTAAAATTAACTTAAAATTATTAAATATAAAGAATTCAATCCAGACTCAAAACCCTGAACTAAATAAAAACAATTGTAAGAATTAAAAATAAAAATATCTTTTCAAAATGAAAACTACATTGAACATCCACATAATTATTGAAACCAACACTAAAATGCATTTGAATTTAAAATTTGTTTTTAATTTTTTTTTTAATCATCTCACAGCACATCAGTTGGGAACTACTGCTCTAAAGGAAGAAAGATGAAGCCTTATTAATATTTTTTAAATTATAAAAAAAAATAACAATACTTCTATGCATTATAAACCATGTCTTCTGAAATACTCAGAAGCTTACAGCCATCATAGACAAGATATTTTATGCAGACAGAAAGCATGTGTTCTGTGCATTATTTTAACAGAAATATGAAGTAGTTTCAGGTAGATGTTCCTTTGATTACATAACTGATTTTCCTGTAACCTCCTCCTGATTAAAAATGCTTAAAACTTGTGGATAGTCAATTAAAAACATTATTACTATTACTATTTTAAATGTGTATCATAGAATAAGGACAGAGTTTCTTTACTAGATGATTAGAAATCACTAGGTGATTTTTGGATCGTAAATATGAAATAGGTTTGTGTATTAGTATTGAACATTTTCATAGTTTCAACAATATATTCTTTTGAAATCCTCTTATAAATTATTTACATTAAATTACTCAAAATAAGATGATAACTTATAGCTTAGGCAGAAGTCCTGCTCAAGTGAGAAAACAGAAATCACTTGTCTACTGCTTTAGTTATCAGTAAAATTGTAGTGAAGAACAAACTTCAGTTGGAACCACTGCTCTAAAGGAAGAAAAATGAAGCAGTATTAATATTTTTTAAATTGTAAACAATAAAAATACTTCTATGCATTATAAACCATGCCTTCTAAAATACTCAGAAGCTTACAAAAAAAAAAAAAAACAAAAAACAAAAAGACCATTAAGAGACCCGAGCTCAAAATACAAAACAATAAAATGTCAAAGAGAAAAAAAGGAGATTTCATGCTAGTAGGAATATCTATGGGTTAATACTGATAATACAAGGAATAAGATTTCAATACTTTGTTAATTATTATTACTTTCAGTCAAAGCAATGTTTAAATATTATGGGACTTTGACTTGTTGATTTTTCAATATTTAATATAAAATGTACAGAAGTTGCAGCACAATTGTTCAAATGTATCATAAGTCTAAAATGATTATGAATTGCTGCTTTAGCAACTTCTTAGCTATCTATGAATATGTTGAAAACTATCTACAAATGGAGTCTTTAAATCTCAAAAATCAAATACAGTAATACCTTGACTTACACTACTCCGACTTACGCGAACTCGGAGTTAAGCGATTTTCAAATCTCATTGATTCGTCTTTTGTTTGAGCACCATGCAACTCTTGATTACTCACTCCCCCACATTATTGTTCAGCTTACATGTTTGGCTTACATGTTCGGCTGTGTCACATGGAATTGACACATAGCTACAATTTATTTTGTGTTATTTATTTCTGTATTTGTTATATCTAAGGAGACTAGAGAGACTCTATGTAGTAATTTCTTGTAACTGTGAACAAATCAAAAGATGAGATAAGATTAACAAGAACATTTATTAGCTTACATACATCCAACTTGGATTTTACACAAATTGCAAAATTATATCGCGACTTATGCGAATTATCTTACGCTGTTATTGCTCAGTCCCACCTATTGCGTAAGTTCGGGGTATTACTGTACATCAATAATGAACACCATACTTTTATATTAAATAATTAGAAAAAACCATGATGAAAACTTTTATCTAGAAACAGAACATTTTAAAAGTGGCTAAGAAGTTATTATAAAATAAAGCCAAGGTCATCTTAATATGTTTTTTACTATTGGTTTCAATAATTATGCAGATAAGTAATGTAGTTTAACATTAAAGGATTATATTTTTTTGACTTTTAAATGAAAATGTCTAAATAGAAAAATTGTTTCAATAAATGAAAATAATTCCTTAAACATTGTTCTGAAGATTAATTGAAACTCTATGAAACCATATTCTTTATTAAAAACATGCAAAAAGAATGGGGAAAAAAGTAACTTGGAGGAAGGATTTATTTCTTTATTGAAAGTTCTATTAGATTAAATATATAATTATAATATTAGTTTTTATTATTTGTCATTATTCTATAGTTGGAGTAATATATTCCATTATATATAAAATAAAATTTAAAATATAGGAAGCAAAATTAAGAAACCAAACAATCACTAATTAATTGGGCTAATTAATTGCTATTATTAGTGATTAACTATTAAGTAATTTGTTACTAGAGATAGGCATTATGTGCCATTTCTTATTAAATTTAATAATTATAATATTTACTAATTACAGCAATCATTTGTTTTATTATTAATACATTGGGCTTAGTGATGCTTATACAGACAAACTTAAGGTTTTACAGTTGATTATCAGCTATAAAAATTAGTTAGAATAGAACAGTTTAATAATTTTATTTAATAAATTCTCAGTAACTAATGTCTGTATATAATGATGGGACAATAGAAATAACAACAAAGACCAGATTATTACCTAATATGTGTTCTAAAACTGTCTTTCAGTGTTAATAGTTTTTAAACAAAGTATTTTGCTAAACAAATCATATTGAAAGTAAATGCAAAGAACATTACATTAAAATTTCCTTCTTCAGGTATTGAAAATGATGTTCAAGCAAAAGTACTTACAAAGATTACATGATTATAAGTAATAAACATCTTATAGCCCAATGAGTATATAATGAAATAGCCAATGATCGCCTGAAGGATTGGGCTAGAATTTGGCTAATTAAATGATTACAATAAATCAATTTGACACTAGAGGGAGGTGTTAGGCACCATCTCTTGATTAAATTAATAATTATAATTTTAATAATTTATTAAATACATTTAGAACCTTCTGGAATAAAAGAACTGACCCGGGGCACGGCTTTTTTTGATTACATGATTTGTTTTAATAAATTTATAACTTTAAACCAAGAAAAACAAACACTGAAAGACAGTTTTAAAATACACAACAGATGATGATAGACAATTTTGAAAATTTTAATAACATTTTAGATAGGGTAACCATTCGTCCCTGATTTCTGGGGACAGTCCCCATTTTTGACCCTCTGTCCCCGGCAAGGAAGCATCCCCAGTTTTGTCCCTGCAATGGAATCTTGTTCCAGTTTTCTTTTTTTTTTTGTTTCCTTGTCATTACTGTAATATTGTCACTGTCACAGTTTTTCTGCCAGAGGATGTCTAGGTAATTTTTTAAAATGAATTAACCAATT